CCCACTCTGAGCAACATTTGGTGAGACAATGAACCCTACCCTAGGTGCGTTTCTACAAATTTCCATGTAGACTTCGTGGTGAGATAGCAGAGCAACAAATTAGAAGTAGTATGAGGAAGGTTCTTGAGGTGGATGAATTGTTTACTAAAGCAATGCGAGTCAAAATTCAGCTAGAAGTGAGTGCTCTCCTTAGACGTTTTAAGAATGTGCAAGTCTTAGCCACAACAACAACTAGCTGGACCAAATACGAAAGACTGCTTGAGCTCTGTTTTATTTATGGTGTATGGGGAATGTTATTTCTAAATGTGCATTAGGTTTTAGACTGACAGAGGTTGGGGAAAAAGTCTCTCAACCTTATGGACCATGGCTAAGGGCATAGAATGAAAATTATTGAGGTCCAGAGACTTTTGAGGAGATAGTTCTATTTGATAGTAAGCTCTTGACTCTGAAAGTTGGTCTCCTAGTCAATAGTAAACAAAAATCTGATTCTCCATTGGTAGGGGAGTCCTTAATTAGGAACCAAGACCACTGAGAGGCTGGAGTGGCTAAAAGGCAATTATGCAATGACAACCACCCAATCCATAAAGAGTAGACATCTACAGTTAAGGCTGTGGTGGAGACAAGCAAACAGATAGAGTTAGGGAGTGACTCCTCACAACAGTAGGAGTTGGAGTTTATTCTTGGGGATATTCCTCTTTGTCATCTAGCCAAAATGACAAATGGGAAGGTTCATGTTCTGCGGAAGACATGGAAAAGAATTGGTAGGGATTTGGTCTCATCACTGAGTAAGAAAAAAGAGCGGAAAAGGAAGAGGAAGTTGGCTTTGGGTGGATTTGAAGATGGAAGGGCATCTAAGGTTAGATTGCATGACTTAAGTACCGTAGTGGCAATGCAGGTAGATGTTTCTTCTGTGTTAGGATGAAGTGGTAAAATAGGTGTGATTACCAGCAGCGTACACAAAGCTCCGAGGTAATCTTTCTATGTCCTTACATAACACTATTGATGCCCTCATGACATATGTTAATATTTAGAGGTTCTTAGTACTTAATTGTTCTACTTGTCATGAACATTAGCTCTTTTTGTTAGTATCATAGGTCCTTCCAAACTTGTTTTATATTTCCTGCATAGCATATATGATAGGATATAATTTGCATTGTAATTTATCCAATTATTAATACAACTATATTTTTATCAAAAATAACTATATTTTTATAAAAAATAATGAGATGAAAGATGTGATGAATATATTTGTAGCATGTTAATGGGCTTAATGACATGCAAGAGTGAACTATGTATCTTATGTGTTTAAATGAAGCACGCAGGAAGAATTCTATATTTACTAATAATTGCAATGCTATGATTATTGTATTTAACATGCCAATGCCATGTTTTATGAGATGCACCTTGTTCTAATCATATGTGATGCTTATGTTAAATATAAGATTTAAGCTTGGTTATCTCGCTTATATAATAGTTATATTAGCTAAGAATGGCAGACATATTTTGTGCATAGAATTTATGATATGATACCTAAGCTACTAAGGTAGGCAAAAACTTCTAAATGACTCAGAGTAAAGAAAGAAAGATTTCTAAAGGATACCTAAGCTGTTAAGCTAGGTAAGAATCCCTAATGTTAGCTGAGGCTGCTCCTCAAGTTAACTGGGGCTAGAATGAGTTATAAGACCTACGCTAATAGCTAGGGAACCATCTTACAGTTAATTGCAGCTGATTTGAATTATTAGACCCCTGTGCATTGGGAAGAACCCTCTCTGGTCTATTTGTAAGGTGGGATGTACACCCAAGAGAAAAATCCATAGATAAAAATATATCCATTTGAATATTTAAACATGCATAAAGTTACCATTCTAGTTTAAATGTCTCAAAGTTTATGATTTAGAAAAAGAAAACCTGATTTAACTGTCCTAATAGATGGAACAGCTTGATGGAATTTATGAATTATCTGTCATGTGAGATTAGTAAGCTTATGCCTAGACTAAGCTAATTTGGTGACAATTAGATGGTTTAAATTCTGATTTTTAAGCTTATTAAAGATAATTGCTTGTTTTTGTTAATTTGATTAAAAATTTAGTTATGACTATTAAATTATAAAAACTATACTTAACGGGCTTCATGGCTCAGGGTTGTTTTTCCAACCATTTCAGGTTAGCTTAAGAGGTATTAGTGGTCTGGAAGTCCAAAAGGCGCTACTTGTATCTACCTTAAATTTTATTATTGCTCAAGGTTTTCTTGAATTCTATTCCTAGGAATTTGTAAACTTTTATAGCTATTAATTTC